AAAAAATCAATACATTACTCAGGTTTGGTGGCAGGCGCCTATAGTCTCAGCTACTCAGGAGACTGAGGTAGAAGGATTGTCTGAGCCCAGGAGGTCAAGGCTGCAGTGAGCCATGATAGTGCCACCGCACTCCAGACTGGGCAACAGAACAAGACCCTGGCTCAAAAAGGGGGAAAAAAAAAAACTCGAAATGAAACAAAGAAACTGCAAAACCTCAAGAACACACCAACCCTCCCCCAAGAAGCCGGGTCAGACTGTGGACTCACCGTTTGCCCAGCTTCACCATCATCTCCTTTGTCACCAGGGGGACCATCTTGACCCTGTGGGCACAAAGCAGGTTTCTTGCTGACTCCAGGACAGCACCCCAGGCTCACACACCAACCAGCACCCAACACAGCCCCAGCCCCTTCCCATAAGCCAGAACCCATCCTGGTGCCAGCCCACAGTGGGCTCAGAAGAGGGGAGGCATTTCTTCCCCTAATCACCAGACCGTGGGTACCTTTGGGGAAAGGGCTATGCCCCAAAGAGAATCCACCAAAAAGAAACAGCCAGTAAGAAAGGAAAAGGTAGGGCTGGCAAAAGCAGGCAACGGTTGTGGGGAGTAGTGGCCTCACCCTCCTGAACACCTACCGCGGGACCAGGCTCTCCAGGGGGTCCGGGATCACCAGGGAAGCCCACCGGGCCCTGAAAGAAGAAAGAGGCAGACAAGGCCGTCAGCAGCCTGACAGAGACCACACTCGGCCGAGCCCATCTCTGCCTTGACACAGCCACCTGCCACCAACCAGACCCTGGAACCTTCCAACCATCCTAACATCCAGTGTACTGTATGAGTCGGAAGCCCTAGCATCTCAGAAGCCTGCGAGCCCAGTCCATGGGCATGGCAGGAGTTGGCTGGTCTCTCGCTTTCCAGAGACATGCCCAGGGCAGGCGTCTTGCCCACAGACCTCTCCGAAGTCTCTCCCGATGCAAAATCTGGGCAGACCAGTGGAAGGGGAGTCCACCCAGAGCCTGATCATCCTCGGTGCCTCTAGAAGGCTGCCTGGTCCACGGCGATGCCCTCAGAAATCTTCCTCTTCCAAGGTAACCATGTCTTCTCTTTCCTATCTCTGCTACTTTTGTCCAGTGACTGGTGAAAACCTCTAGACTTTGAAAGACTTGCCCAAGACCCAGAACAGTCCTGAGCCCGACCCTGCTCAGGGGCTTGTGTATCACTGTGCTACTTACGGGGCTGCCTTTGGGACCGTCATCTCCAGGAGGGCCTTTGGGTCCAGGGGGTCCAGCAGCACCAGATGGGCCCGACTCGCCCTTCTCTCCCCTTTCTCCTTTGGGTCCCTGGAGAAGAGGCCAGTGTCCAGTTCTCAGAGCCGACAAAGCAGCGCTGGTAGGTGGGGTGCCTGCCTGACTGCTGTCCCAGCCAGAGGCCCCTTTGCAAGTGCAAGCCCTGCTAGGAAACCAGCTGCCCACCTCCATCCCTCTGCAGCTCCCAGCGAGTCAGCCCCCGCAGGCTCCAGGAGGTGGCCAGAGGAGCCCGGATTTCTGGGGCACTCTAAGGCCGAGACCCAGCTCCACGTAGGAGGGACCCAGAGAGTGAGGACCGCAAGGGGCACCCACCGACTCCTCAGTTCTCAGATGGGGAAGCGGCTATAGACGCCCAGACCTCAGTTCCTCCGCTGCTCCTGGTCCCTAAGGCTGCCCCCAGGCTGGCCGCACAGCGCCTGCTCACCTGGCCTCCAAAGGCCTAGATTCTCCCAGTCAAGCCTTCAGAGTCCAGGGCGATGGATGGCAGTAGGTGCCCTCACTCTTACGGTAGCCCATGAAGGGCCTGGAACAGCACAGATGGCAGAGAAACTTAACTAGCCATTGGCTGGGGGGGTCACCATTAGGACTGGACACACACGTGCACACACGCGCACACAGGCTCACTGCCCCAGCCACCTCCTGTGTTTACAGGAATTCTGTGAAATAGGCACCAGAGGGGTTAGGAGTCCCATTTCATGGACGGGAAAACTGAAGCAGACTGGGAGTTTCCTACCCAGCAGATCCAGCACCCGTCTACACCCTGCTTGACCACACCACCCCTCCCCCAAGCCCACTCAACACCCGCCCCTCCCCACGCCACTCACCGGGGGGCCCCCTTCTCCTGGAAGGCCAGGCTCACCAGCTTCTCCAGGCTCACCCTAGGGAGACAACACAGCTTGGTTAGGCAGTGGTGAGCACTGTGGTTCTGGCTTCAGGTATGTGCCAAATCCTTCCTGCCTGCTGTCGGGCCCTGAGGACCGGGGCTTGGGAAACAGTAGTCACTGCCCCCCAGATGGCTCCCAGGACTGGGGGGAGGTGTGTGAGGAACACGGCAGGCATATGACAGATGCACAGAGGGGCATCCAGATGACAAGGGACACTGTCTTGGAAGGCCTTCCCGAGAATGGGGCTCGGGGCCTTGGAGGGTGACCCTGAGAGGCAGGTAGGAGGGCAGGACAGCCTCAGAGGTGAGGATGGTAAGGCAGGGGCAGGGAGAAAGCCACACGTGATCCTTAGGGACACGGGAAGTATGCAGTGGCAATTGATGAGTAGGGATGCATGCCCTGTGGTGGGGGTGCTGAAGAAGATGGGTGCTCCCTGGGCAAACACTGTGTGCCATCGCTCTGTGGTTCTAGCAGGTGCATTCCTCTTTAATTTCTGCATCATTAGAGTGAGTCATGATGGAAGGCCTCTTTCGATGTAACAGCCAAGGGCAGAGAGAAACCTCCAAAAACAGCGTGCAGGGAGCTCACGTGCGTGGGTGGCCACCCATCTTCCCGCTTGACCACAGGAGCGGAGAAGAGCTTTTACAGGCCTGCAACCTCAGGAGCTGACGGTGGCACCACCTAGCCACATGCTCACATGCACACACATACATGCACACATGTGCACAGGCATGCACATGTTCACACATGCACGCACACATGTCTTCATAGCAATTCTGAGAAATAGGTACCAGAGGTGGGTAAGACTCCTATTTCATGGATGGAAAAACTGAGGCAGAGTCAGAGCTTCCAATCCAGCAATCATCCAGACTCCACTTGGCCACACCCACCCCTCCTCCACACCCACTCACCAGGGAGCCTCCTTCTCCTGGAAGGCCAGGCTCATCAGCACACATGTGCACAGGCATGTACACATTTACACACACACCCGCATACGCACACACACATCATACATGTGCACACACGTTCATGGGCGTGCACACACTTATACACCCTCCACAAATCCACACGTACCCACACATGCATATACATGCATGCACAAACATGCACAAATTCACACACACACACAGGCTCACATTCATGCACAGATATGCACACATACATGTGCACACACATGTATAATACGCACACATTTACACACACACACATACAGGTCCATCACGCTCACTGAGTCACTTTAGGCTCTGGGTTCTAAAATCAGACAGATCAAGTGAAGAGGGCCCCGGGCCATGAGAACATGATTCTGCTGTAGTGGCAGCAACAAGCTTGGCACGGCCAGGCATGCTCTGCACGTAGGGGGGCAGAGGGTTACTCCCCAGGGCTAAATATTGAAGAAGGTGGCAGAGGCCTCGCTGGGGGCCTCGTTTGGAACTTCCACAAAGGGCTGCCACAGAGGGACACGTCAAGGCCCTCCATTTCATGGATCTTCTACAGTTCCAAATGCATCGGACAGGAATAGCCCAGCCATGTCTTGTGTGTCTCTGCACATACACACACAGGTACACCCATGTGCATACACACACCCAGCTCTCCCCAGACAGTCCCAGAACTGCCCCAGCAGTAGAGGCATGGCCTCACCTTCTCTCCCACGGCACCAGGATTTCCTATTCCACCCGGAGGCCCTTGCGGTCCATCGGCACCTGGAGCTCCGGAGGGTCCTCGGGGCCCTGGAGGACCCGGGGGCCCCTGGGAAAAGGGAGAAGCCGTTGAGACAGAGAAAACACCATCAACTCTTCCCCATGACACAAGCCTCGGACACAGAAGGTCTCGGTGGCCTGGACACACTTACCATCTGGCCCACGTCTCCCGTCTCTCCCTTTTCACCTGGAGGCCCCGGCAAACCCTGGGAACAGGAAACCTTGTAGTTAAGTGCTACTCTGTCAAATACACACTACAATCCTACCTTCCCCAGCACGATGCCATGGAGCCCCCCTAGAGCCCTTGGAACATGCTTCCACATCACGGCCACCTGAGAGGACATAATTCTTTAGCTGGAGGAAATAATTAGAGCAGATTGCAGAGATTTATGACAAAGGTGCTTATGTTAGGGTCCCATAAAACAATAAACCCTAACGAGCCAACAGCAGGGGAATGCCCGGATAAATTATGTCACCACCAGATGCTGGCTTGCTGCGTAGTGACTAAAAAAGTGTGTTTTCCAAATAAATAAAGAGATGCATGTTCCAAGAATATTTAATGACATCCAATGATCCAATGCACCTCATAATGGAAAACGGGATTGTGGAACGAAAATGAGAAACGGAAAACGCTAGGCACAGACTTTCTATAAGATGCACGACCCGATTTAGATTTTGCAAAAATCATAGAATTATCTAAATGCCCGTGTGCGTGTGTGTGTGCGTGTGTGTGTGTGTGTGTGTGTGTGTGTGTGTTTATACAGATGCATTTCAAAGGCATGGCCGCAAAATGCGCCCAAATGTTTCCTGTTGTCATTTCCGGGTGGTGTGCCTAGAAGTCAGTTTTGCTTTTTTATTTTTCTTACAAATGATCATCTTCTACAAGGAGCACAAAAATGCATGTGACTTCTGAAGAGCAGTAAACGCCGGCATGCCTGGAATTCTGAGATGTTTTAGCAGCTACGATTGGATGGGGAGGCCTGGGAGACCTCTGATAGTCTAGTCTTAGTTGCCCCACTCTTAAAAAGATGGGAGAGGCTGGGCTCAGCGGTTCAGCCTTTAATCCCAGCACTTTGGGAGGCCAAGGCGAGTGGATTGCCTGAGCCCACGGGTTCGAGACCAGTCTGGGCAACTTGGCAAGATCTCATCTCTACAATACGTAAAAAATTAGCCGGGTGTGGTAGCATGCGCCTGTAGTTCCGGCTACTTAGAAGGCTAAGGCAGATGGATCACCAAAGTCCAGCAGGTCGATGCTGGGCTGGCTGTGAGTGTGCCACTGCACTCCAGGCTGGGTGACAGAGTGAGACTCCAACTCAAAAAAAAAGAAAAAAAAAAGACAGGAGGAAGGACACCGCGAGGAAGACACAGGTGGCATCGTAAGGAGACCCTGGCATGGTGAAAGCGGGTGGTTACCTGCAGCCCCACTGGGCCTGGTGGTCCCGGAAAACCTCTGGGACCTTCGTCACCCTTCTGACCGAATAGGCCCTGCTGGCCACGAGGGCCTGGCTCCCCGTCAGCTCCCTGCAGGGAAAGAAACCGAGGGGAGGATACCACACTGGTGACACAGCAGCTCAAGGGGGCGCGGGTCTGTCTCAAGGTCATTCACCGCAGATACTCACGGAGGGTCCTGGCTGTCCGATGGGGCCTTGGGGACCTGTAGGCCCAGGAGGACCCTGTGGGGACAAGACAGAGACATGAGTTGCTTCTCGAATTGTGGGGGAGGCTGGGGGAGGGGTGGGTCCCATCCTAAGTAGGGGAGGCTTGGCGCAGGAGGCCGATGCACCCAAGGGCCTTGGTGCCGCCCTCAAATGTGTCATTCAGCAAGCAAGCAACAACAACACAGTTCGGGCCCTGGGAAGCTGGCAAGGCTCTTGGTTCAATCCCGAGTGTGTCACCGTGGATGGCAGAGGCTGCTGCCCCCAATGTCCCCCTAGAGACCACCCTATGCCTCATTTCCACTCCCAGCATACAGCCACGACATGGGAATGTGACGTCAGCTCAACAATCAGGAATGGGGGCACATAGCTTGCTCAAAGCCCTGGGCCCAGCACCAGGCCCTCTGCTGTGCCATCGCAAGAAACCACCAGCACAGAGAATGTGAGAGAGGGGCCAGGCATGGTGCCTCAAGCCTGTAATCCCACCACTCTGGGAAGCTGAGGCCGGAGGATCACTAGAGCTCAGGAACTCGAGACCAGTCTGGGCAACACAGTTACAACAAAATAAAACAACAGCATCCCTACAACAACAACAACAAAAATGGGCTGGTGTGGTGACATGTACCTGCCATCCCAGCTACTCAGGAGGCTGAGCACAGGAGGATCACTTGAGCCCAGGAATAGGAGGCCGTGGTGAGCAGTGATCGTGCCACTGCACTCCAGCTTAGGCAAGAGTGAGATCCCAACTCAAAATAAAAGGGGCTGGGAAAAAGGAAGGCAAGGAGGAGACAGGGCACTGTCCCCAGGAGCCCAACCAGGGAGGCCCAGCACAGGCCTCCCAAGGAACATAGGTCCTTCCTGCCTGGGAATCAAAACATTGGGTGAAAATCCTGAAGGTGAAGGGAGCAAAGAGGTGTTTCATATCGTCGGGAAGAAGCTGGCAGCAGAGCAATGGGGGCTTTGCAAGAGCAAGCTGGTATTTTTGATCACGTGAAAAAACAGAGGGAAACATTCCCAGTCATTGGGTCAAGGGCGCTGCTTCTGCCAGAATGCTCTGGTTTCCTCAGCCTTGGAGGGCAATGGGCATGTCTACACAACCCCTGTGAATGCTTCCTGTTCACTTAAACACGGAGACTCACACATGCACACACACACGCATGCTCGGATATCACTGAAGTACACACACACACACACGAGAGATTTTAACAGCATTCTGTGTCGTATCAATCATCAGCTTCATCAGCAATGACCACATGTGGCCCTCAACGTGTCCCCTCCAGGATTGCTGGCCGTCTATACTCGCCACAACTTACCTGTTCACCCTTGTCTCCCTTGCTTCCTTTCTGTCCCGGCTCTCCGATCTCACCCTAGGGGAAGAAGGGTGAGATCCATTAGGCAGCCCAATGACCGCGGGGTTTTTCCCATTGCCCATGATTAATTTTTCTTGGCAGTGAAGAATAATCTCGTTCCCAGGTGGCCCTGTAACTTTCCAAAGAAGAAATGTTTCCATAGATGAATTTGATTTCCTTCTTAATACAAAGGCAGAAAGGGACAAGGTCTTGGTCTGATGCCACGCGGGATTTTAGTAGATTTGAACACGTGGGAAAAAGCCTATTGAAAATGCTTACTTTGTTTTCAAATTGAACTGTGAACAACACAAGACAGTAATAGGCCACTCCATTACCAAGTTGCCAAGGAAGTTAGTAAGATCTTTCCTAATGTTTCTGTTGGTACAAGGCTGTCTTCTACCCTGAGATGTGGGACAACGCAAAGGTGACAGAGTCGGAAATGTCACCAGAGCTATCATAAATGGGAAGTCAAACCACAGAGCTAGATTAAATGGAGTATAAAATGCAAGCTCCTGCAGTAACGGTGGCAGAATTAGGCAGCCCGTTCTTAATGAGAGGGAGGCTGATCATTTCAGGGAAGATATTTGAAAGCAGATGTGGGGTAGAGGCTCATGGAACTGGGTGCTACAGATTCTGACTTTGAAATTATTCAGGGGGACCAGGGAGCATTTTTCTTTGCTCGAGCTACTAAGAGCAAATGTCTTGGGCCGCCTCAAAATGACACAAGAGGAAAGTGGTTTCTAAGTTCCCTCCAGCATGCCAGAGATTTCATTTATTATCACTTATTTGTGTGCTGCTGTGAATTTACCCCCCGATACAGGTCTGCGGGTAGGCGTGGCATTCAGCCGTTGTTAACAGGGGCCACCATCGCCCTTGCCTGCCCGCCTGGCCAGGCCTGGCTGTGTGTCACTCCGGATCTTCCTTACCTTGTCTCCATCTTCTCCAGGGGGTCCCACAGGGCCAGCAGGACCTGGGAGCCCCACAGGACCCTGCAGACCATCACGGCCAGCCGGGCCTTGCGGGCCTTTCTCACCCTAGAGGGGACAGAAGATCCCTGGTCAAATGTGGCTCCATCATGGGGACATACCCCCACCAGCTCATCACCCTGGAGAGGGGTGCATTGGCAGGAAGGTGGGGGCTCCTGGAGGGGCTGTCACCACAAGCCTGATGGAGGTGAGCCAGGTACACCAAGGGCCGATTCGGAGCCCAGTCCTGGACCATGACCTTGGTGTGTCACTTTGCTTAATCACACTCACCCCATGAAGGACTGCTCCTGAGAGATGGAGAGACTGAGGCACAGTCAGCGAACAGCAGAGCCAGGGTGCAAATGCAGCCAGCCCAGTTCCTGAACCTGTGTGTGGGTCACCTAAGCTAGTGACCAGGAGCCACATCCAGGGACCAGGAGGGCCTGAGCACCATCCTCATGCAACTTTCTTTCAATTATTGGCAGACACCCTCCCTGTACACACACAAGGACATGCATGCACACTCATAAGCATGCACGTACAAATAAGTATTCTGACATGTGTGCGCACACATACACATGAATACACATGCATGTGTGCAACACACATGGGGCACACATGCACACAACACACATGAGCACACTGAACATACATGCACAGATACATGCATGTATATAGTGCTCAATCACATGTGTGTGCACATGAAACACATACAGAGATACATAAACATACACAAGGCATGCACACACACAGGACACACATGCACACACAGCATACACACATAGGTACTCTAATGTGCATGCACACACACACAAACATGTGCTACATAATCTGCCCCCTCCCTGTAGGCAAATGACTGTGGACATACACATGGACCATACATGCGCACAGACATGCGTGCACACACATATACATAGGCATACAGAGGACACACATGCACATACAGACATGCACATGCACGCACAAGCACTCCAACATGCTTGTACACACACAAACACGCACATGCATGTGCACATACATATGGGACATGCATGCACACGTGCACACACAAATACTCTGACATGTATGTGTACAAGCACACTTGAACACAGGACATACACACAGACAGACATACATATACACACAGGCATACACACACAGACATACACATACACACAGGCATACATGCAGGCATGCACAACACTAACACAGAAAGCATTCTGGTATGTGTGTGCATGTGCACACATGAACATCCATGTACATGTGAGCACATTCACATGATACAAGCACACACACATGCACACACTCTATCCTTCCTGTCCTTATAACTTGACCCACTTTCCGAACTGCCCCCCTTGGCCATCCTCAAATCTCCTTCCTAAGTTCTTGCTTGCCTCCATTTCCCTAGCCATCACGTCACTCTGTGAACGGCTTGGATTTATTTTCTCACCCCAGACAGGAATCCCTTTTTTCCAGCAAACACACAGAAGGAGCGAGTGCATCCTGGGAAGGGACATGAAAGGGAGCAGGTCCCTTCAGCGTGGGGCTCCGAGTGTGGCCAGCACCGAGTCACACCTCATTCTCAGATCTGATTGTCTCCTGCCTGCACGGCTCACTTCCTGCTCCTACAAGTGAGCTCCTCTTTATCCCAACCTCAACCCCACATAAGCCAGAAGATGCCCAGGCCACGGGAAGGGCCTTCCTGGACCCTCCTGTCCAATGTTGCAGCTTGGGGGGCATCCTGGAGACACCAGCCTCTGCTTGAACTCGCCTTCTCTCTGGAGCTATCCCTGGAGAATGACACCTTCTCCTGGGACGGTGCTGCTCTCAGAGGCCTCTGCTTAAACATTTACCCTCCTGAAACAACAAACTCACTTCCCACTGAGTTTGTGCAGGCTCTACACACACTGAATGCCCACCAGGTCTCAGTTTTCTGGCCCAGAATCTGGCTGGATCCGCGTCCTGGTGCCTCATGGGAAGTGATTAGGTGTCATCCAGATTGCCAATAACACATTAAACAGATTTGCAGTAGCACAGATGTTCCCAACGTGGTTTCAGCAGGGACTCCCCGCCCAGGGAGTACCGGCTGTTCTTCCCACCCGGGAGCCACCGAGAGTGACACATACAAGGAGGCCACACCTATCTAATACAGCCAGTCAGCACACAGGCCTAACTCAATGGAGGCCGCCTGCTGATATCTGCCCATCTGGGAACACAGCTCACTCTTTCTGTACTGAGGAGAAAGAGCTGAAATTGGTCTCCACAGTCATTTGCCGGCAAGGAGGCGGCAGATTAGTAGGCAGAAGTCTCACGTGCGTCAGGGTGGGCCATGCCTGGGCAGTAAAGGTGTTTTGAGGGTCATTCAGGAAAGAGGCTTGTGGAAAGTGTCAAAGCCAGAGGGGGTCTCACTTTTCTCTTTCTTGGAAACCGAGACTGGGGGAGCTTTAAGACTGACCCCACGCCCCGATCCAAGAGGCTTCACAAAGCCTGCAAAATCTGAGATTCACCAAGAGGCCGGCTTGTCCTGGGCGTACAGGAAGAAGGCTTATCTTCCCAAGGTCCACCACCTCCTGTCTCTTGTTTGCCAGACATCTGTTCTCCACGCCCGCCCCCAAACAAGGGGGGACCAGTTCCAGATATCTTCCTTTCTCATAAAAAGCCCAGGCATGTGTTCAGGCCAGCAAAGGGGAGCAGATCACGCACACGGGGCACTCAGAGGCTGGACCACAACCAAGTCCACCAAGAACAGACCATCCGGCCCTTCCCTGTCTGCACGTGTGGGCCAGCAGCATGTGGGCGTGGACAGGATGAGCCTTGGCCAGCATGATTCCCACGGAGGCCCCCAGCTCAGCCAATTGTGAAAGGACGTGGCCTCCCCGTGGACCTCAGCTGGGATACCTTGGGACACACACACCGTCTTAGAGAATGAACACAGATCTCACCCCATCCCAGAATCACTATAGGGCAGGGATGAGGTTGAACTCATGAATGACCCCAGTGCCTAAGTAAAGGGCTTCCCCCAGTTCAGGGCAGTACTTACGGGAGCCCCTTTCTCTCCAGCTGGCCCTGGAGGTCCCTGGGGCCCAGGTCTCCCTGGAATTCCTATGGGCCCAGCAGCACCAGCTGGTCCTCGCTCTCCAGGAGATCCCTGGGATGGGACAAAAATCAGCTTGTTTCAAAGGCTTTCAAACAGCGTGGACATTTCTTCCTAAAGCACCACTCTATCAGTCACTCCACTTACTCACTCACTCTAGACCCCACCATAACTCCCTATGGCCCTTGGCAAGCAAAGACTACTTGTCTAGCACTTGAGGCTCTGTGCCATCAGGCTCATTGGGTCTTCCCCTCCCTTGGTTCCAAGCGCACCCATGACCCCTTCCCCAGTGACTGAGGACACGCCCTCCTCCATGCTGGCCTTCAATGATTCCCCCTTCCCGGCCCCCTTCTCCCCTTCAGGTCTGCGGAGGCCAACAAGGTATCTACTACTTGCCCCGTTTCTCCAAGCTGTGCAATTTGCTAGGCCTTGAGCAGAGACAGGCACTACAGTGGCTGGGTTCGTGGCCTCATCAGAAGGCCATGCTGCCGGACAGGCCCCCACCCTGGACAGCCTAGTCCAGAAGCATTCATAGAGACTCGCATCTACTTCCTGCCCCCGTTGGCCCAGTCCAGACTCATGCTAGGCATGTGGGCCTCCTCTGTGCTCCTCCACAGAGAGTGCTCCTCCTGGGAGAGAATGCTCCTCGAGAGAGAGTGCTCTTCAGAGAATGCTCCCCCAGGGAGAGAGTGCTCCTCCAGGGAGAGTGCTCTTCGAAGAGAGTGATCCTCTAGGAAGAGAGTGGTACTCCAGGGAGAGTGCTCTTTGGAGAGTGCTCCTTCAGGGAGAGAGAGCCCTTCCAGGAAGAGTACTCCTCAGAGAGAGTTCTCCTCTAGGGAGAGAGTTCTCCTCTAGGGAGAGAGTGCTCCTCCAGGGATAGTGCTCCTCCAAGGAGACTGTGGTACTCCAGGGAGAGACAGTGCTCCTCCAGGAGAGACAATGCTTCTCCAGGGAGAGTGCTCCTCTAGGAAGAATGCACCATGGGCAGCACGAGGTCACTCCTCCCCCTCCAGGCTGCCCTGTCCTCCCTTCTCATGTGATGTGTCCCCGGGACCCTCTGTCAACTCAGCTCCAGCTCAGGGCACACCCCCTCGGAAGCTGTCTTCTCTACCACATCCTCCACAGAACCCTTGGTGGGGACCTGGGCAGCTGTACGTACTCTCAGCTCTCAGGAACCACCTGAGAGGAAAAGGTATTGAGGAAAATGATTTGACAAAATCTGACTCACCGCGGGGCCTGGTGGGCCAGGGGGGCCTTCGTTGCCTTTCAGTCCAAGAGCGCCCTGCAAAGCCATAAAAACGTGAGTCGAGGGCATGTGGGAGGAAGCCCCCAGGGCTGCGTGCGGTCTGGTTTCCTTTCCCACCTGGCCCTGCACTCACCACGGGGCCAGGAAGTCCTCGGTCCCCAGGGAAGCCGCGTAATCCCGGAGGGCCGTCTTTCCCAGGGAGGCCGGCAGGGCCTGGGTCACCCTGGAAACAGAGTCAGGGGTTAGCTTTGCCTGGAGCCAGTGCCAGCAGAGACCCCCACCCCCAGCCCTCCAGCAATGGCCAGGATCGGGGACTGCCAGCAAGGCTTCCTGGTCAAGACTCCCCGGGGTCTGGGTCACACTGGGGCTTCCCCTGGGCACATGGCTGTAAAAGAAATTTCTGGGTCTTGACTGGACTCATTGGCAGTTCCCATTCTTGTGTGCTGCCCAAGCCCACACCCGGTAGCCATGCTTGGCCTGCTGGCACTGCCTGAGGATCCTGCAAACAGACGCGACCTGTGACACTCTACCCGAGCTCCACGGAGTTCAGCCACCCCCACCCCCGCTCCAAAGTCGAGCGGTGCCACGTCTCTCATATATTTGGTGGTCCCTTGAAAGACTGAGTCAGATAAAGGAATCAGTGCTAAAAGTGCTAAAAACACTGCCCTAACTGGACTTAGAACCTAAGGTACTTGCCTCGAGCCTAAAAGCACAAGAAAAAAAGGCACCCCCCTAGCCTATATCTTTCCTGAAGTACATGTAATGTTTGATAGCTTTGATATCTTCCAGAATGTTCTTTGGAGTCCAACACGGAGCACAGGGGTGTTCCCAAACCAATAGATCAAATATGCCGGTGGCTTCTGTTCCTGTGTGTGTGTGTGTGTGTGTGTGTGTGTGTACCAGGGGGTGCCAAAAAAAGAATGCACGTTTTAAGAGACGTTACCTATGTATTACTTTTAGTTTATTGTAATCAGAAGTGCCTGGATGCTGACAGTAACCACTGTGAGCACCTCTTGTAATTGCAGAAGTCAAACGTGACTTGTATTCATCTACAACTTTAATACAGTTTTTTTCCTTTCTTAAAATGCATATGCGTTTTTTGGTACCCTCTGTATATACACGCTAGATATGTAAATATATACATATATAGTAAATATATCTGTGAGTATACGAGGGACCCACAAAACACACAATTTATTTAGAAAAAATAGCATATTGCTTCTCACATGCTTACACTTCAGTCACCTTCAAAAAACTCTCCGTTTGATGAATTACACCTATCGAGAAGATTTTTCCACTATCAAAAAACTCATCCGTTTTGATGCCTTTTTAGTGCTTCTGCCATTTTTTGCTTCACCTTTTTCCCATCGGCAAAACATTTCCCTTTGAGGACTTTTTTTCATTCGGGAACACAAAAAAAGCCGCTCAGAGCAAGATCGGGGAATGGGGAAGATGCGACACAGAGATCATGCTGCTTTTGGTCAAAAACTGCTGAACACTCAGCGCAGTGTGGGCGGGTGCATTGTCATGGGGGGAGAACCAGTCACCTGTTTGCCACAACTTGGGACATTTCTTCTGCAAATCATGATGCAACCATCTCAAAACTTCCAGATAAAACTTGAGTTAACGTTTGATCCGGAGGAACAAATTGCAAGTGTACTACCAGGGGCCCACCCTCCAAAAGATAATTCCAGGGATTTTTGGGTCCCTCACCTTGTATATATACACACACAAATGCACACACATATATGTTGTGTGTATATATTCACATACACACATATTTATTCAAGTACATATGTGCACACACATGTGTATTATTGTTTTCAATCTTTCTTCATTTGCCTGGTTATGTTTCAAGTGTATTCATCTATGTGGTCATTTAAAAGGCTGAAGAGCTTGCATTTTCTGGGCCCCTTATTGACAAGCTGGAAGGGAAGAGCTGTTTATTTTTATGCCAACACGTAGGAAGTTTCAGCCTCCCACCTTAGGCAGCCACATTGGAAGTAATTTTTAAAAAGGGACAGTTAGACCCGGCACTGAGAGGTAGGAGAGAAACAATTAGTTTTTTGCTTTTGTGGTTTATTTTTCAGCCTCTTATGGTAAAGGGCTTTTTAAAAAAGCACTTTCTGCTAAATTTATTGGGAACGCATGAAATCCAAGAGCTTTCTATCCATGTCTGAAAGCAGAGCTGGCAGCCAGAAAGGAGAGGCTTGCGAGGGTGGAGGACGGGTCTGACCCTGTGTTCCCCTTAGGAGTCCCACCCCAGAGGCCAGGGCAGTGCAAGTCCTAGTGCAAATCAAGTAAGAGTCAGCTAAACCTACGGTTTAGGGAGTGAATTAGCACAAAGAGCATTTGTTGGAGGAACTGCCCACTCACCAGAAAAGAACAAGAAAAAACAAAAACAAAAAACACAGAGACAAAGTCCAGGCATGATTCCTCAGGAAAAGCATAGCCTGACTGGGAAGGTTCCAGAAACTCACCTTTGTCCCTTCTTTCCCAGCCAGGCCTGGGAGTCCCTGTTCACCGGGGGGACCGGGGGGCCCAGGGTGACCACGCTCGCCCATTGGACCTGTTTCTCCTGTGGGACCCTACGGAGAAGATCAGCGTCAGTCACAAAGCAATTTCAAGAGACCCACAAGGGAGTGACCACCTCATCCTAAATCTAAGGACAGCCCTGGCTGTCCTTATGGAGGCAAGGGGCCTGCAGCAGGCCCAACAAACCTTCACACCCCTTTGCAAGTCTTCTCCTTCTGGCAAACATCCGGAAGGGAAGATCAAAGCAAGCCAGGTGGGTGTCGCTAAACTTCCCATTGCCCGGCCCCATGCCGTGGCCCAGTGTGGCCCTCTTCCCCCCAACCTGTTGTCTTCCAGGAGGTACAGCCAGCATGTGTTTCCAGGATGCGCCATGAGCGAGGCTGAATGAGCCCCAGCAGAGGCCACAGGTAGGAGAAAGGCCACACCAGGGTGACAGCCCACGGGTCCTTCCGCTCTGTGGCTGCAGTGGGTCAATATCTTATTTAACACTACATTAAGTGTGGCATTTCCAAGAAACAAGGTGACTGCTGCCCCGTGTTGTTACTCTAAGCCATCAATCATGGCTAAAGCCACTCCTGTCATTGCTCTGCTGGCAGAGAAAACCGCAGGCCTGTGGCACTGACAGATCCAAGGACAAGAGAATTTGGCCACCTCGGATGCCCACAGCCAAGGACAAGCCCAACTCCTGAGCCTCACCCTGGTCTGGTCCCGACAGGCCCATGAGCCTCAGGCTTTTTTTTTTTTTTTCCTTGAGTCAGTTTCACTCTGTCACCCAGGCTGAAGTGCAGTGGTGTGATCATAGATCACTGCAGTCTAGATCTCCTGGGCTCAGGTGATCCTCCTGCCTCAGCCTCCTGAGTAGTTGGGACTACAAGTGCTTGTCACCACACCTGGCTAATTTCTTCCTTCCTTTCTTTCTTTTTTGTAGAAACTATGTCTCCCAGGCCGATCTCAAACTCCTGGCCTCTTGTGAGCCTCCTGCCTCAACCTACCAAAGTGCAAGGATTACAGGGGTGAGCTACCATGCCTGGTCAGACAGCTGTGTTCAATGAGCCACTGACTCTATCCTCTGGGTACGGTTTCCTGTGTGGGGCAAATTGGATGTCGATGTCTTATAGGACTTGAGAGGCTCCCAGGCAACCCCTACACCTCCAGAATAACAGGGGCACGGACACCCCAAGTCCTGCTCCTCTCTCCTGTGCGGGTGAGTGGTACCGGGTGACCCCTGGAGCCGGGGACGCTGCCGTCTCACCTGTGGGCCGACCACACCTGGGGGGCCTGGAGGGCCGGTCTTGCCTTGGAAACCCTGTTGAGAGAGAGTCACACGCTGAGGGGGCTAAGACAGCCCACGCCACTGCCACCCGCCACCCTTCTCATCAGAAGGCTCCCCACCCCTCCCACCCTGTCCCCATCAGCGGATGTTCGCCTTCCTTCGTAAGGGCCCATTTCTCTTGCTCTAACTTCATGGAGGTAATGAAGCCAGACGAGTTAGTCTCACTGGCTGTTCTTCCTCCGCCGCGTTTCTAGTGCCGAGACCGTTCATCTTTATCATGTCACTGAGCACTCGTTTTCCGAGTAGACTTGGCGCCATCTCTAGACTTGGTAGCTCCTCTGGGCTGTTTCTCATTAGTGGCTTTCTGGGGACTTTCCCGCAGCTGCCATTAATGCCTCAAATGCATGGCAGGTGATCTCACCAGTGTGTGTTTAACACGGGCGAGGTGAGGGCTTGCTGTTTTTGCGATCCAGCAGCTCAGGGGATTATTTTTAGCTCAGTTCGGCAGGAACGTCTCATCTGGGCTCTAACAATCCTGGCTGGGTCCTCCTGGGTACCTGCTACGCCTTCAATAGTCTCCTTCAGAGCAGAGAGATAACCTTAAGGCGACGCAGGCTTAATTTCTGGGCATGTCTGCCGAGCATGACTGGTGCCAGTGAGATGCCATCTGCAGGTGCCACACAACACTGCCGGGGACAAGCCCAGATGTCATGCGAGCGTGTGAGATTCGACTCCCGACTTCTCAGTCATGTGAACTCACAGCAGATTCAACTTCTCTGCAAATCCTAGAAGTGTTTTCTTCTTTAAGCCCAGCTCAGTTGCCTGCCTTGGGCTAGAACCATCTTTTTTTTTCTTCTTTTGGGTTGAGGTCTTGCTCTGTTGCCCAGGATGGAGTGCAGTGGCACAATCATGGCTCACCACGGTCTCAAATCCCCAGGCTCCAGTGATCTTCTGCCTCAGCCTCCCAAGTAGCTGGGATGACACGTGTGTGCCGCCACCTTTGGCTAATATTTTAATTTTTTTTTTTTTTTTGTAGAGACGAGGTCTTACTATGTTGCCCAGGCTGGTCTTGAGCTCCCAAAGTGCTGGAATGACAGGCATGAGCTACCAGCCAGAACCATCATTTTTAATGCAGCATTCTCTGTAGATTGCACTTACAGGGTCAGAAACAAGAGGTGGTGGACGGGTTGAGGACACACTCCACTCGGTGGGTCAGGGGAGACAGGAGCCTTGGGTTAAGTCTTGCTACCATCAATGTCAACCACTGTAACAGGAAAGCCCTCCCCATCTGGCCCACAGCCATCCACAGCTGTTGGGGATGCAGTTAACCTTCAGTTGGGCTCACATTTAGGAGAAATCATCGCCCTTGGGTTTCCAACACCCCAGGGAAGACCTTTCTAGAAGGCTTGTCTGGATCAACCCAAGGAGTAGACTCCACACCCCAGGTGGGACTCGGGGGATGGTGTGTGGGGGAGGGTCTGCTGGCGTCACCCCTGCATCTAAGGGGCAGCCAGGCATGGCAGGAAAGTACGTCTATAACTTTCTGAGCAAAGATGAACTGCTTAATTATTTTTCCAGCCTCTTTCCAGAATAAGTCAGCGGGAGAACAGCACATAATACACAAAACTTTCTATCTTGTCTCCTTGGAAAGGCATTAGAGAAAAATATGCAAAGCTCAGAAGAAATGTTTTAATTTTTCTCTCTAAACAAAAGAGCGAAGTCATCTCTACTTATCAGCCGGTGTGCGCCGTGCAGAACACGGTGAAGGTGTAATTAAAAGAGGTTTCGTCACAGTGAGTCAAAGAGAAACAAAGGGAGGGGGGGTAAAAGAAGCAGGCACCAAGAACATATTAAATGTGGCATTCAAAAACCCATTTCATGAGGTCGCCTGCTTTTGCTGGGAGCGTCCTTTAGAGATTGTTGGCCACTAAGACACCGGCTGCAGAGACAAAGGGGCCATTTGGACACTGATGCAACCCCTGCTCTCTGTGGTGGGAAAAATTTTTTTTTAAGAGGGCAGAGTCTTGCTAGGTTGCCCAGGCTGGTCTCAAACTCCTGGGCTCAAGCAATCCTCCTGCCTCGGCCTCCCAAAGTGCTGGGATTGCAGGCATGAGCCATTGCACCCAGCTGGGCCAGCATCTTTCAAAGTGGAAAAACGGGATGCATACACAAAGAAGGAGCACAGCACAGTGACAGGAAGTCGCCCTGGTGATGCGAGTCCCCAGGTATTCAAAGCTTGGAGCCCCAAGGATGAAGGTAACCATTTGGCTGACGGGGCCAGGAGAGGTTCCCATTTCTCATCAATACTTTTTCTCCCAAATGAGAATTTTGGGTTCCGTTATCTTCTAGATAACGATGCAGCCTGCACACACATTTCTAAAGTGAATGGCAAGGTCAAAGGTGAACCTGTGACTGCAAACACACCGATCACGTACACGGCTGTGTGTCCAGCGAAAAGCCAAATTGCAACTCGACTCAGTGCTGTTTTATACTATAGAAGAGGACGTTGAAGGCTTCCCCAAAATCCCATGGCTTGGAGCTGGAATGATCTGGATAAATGTTGCTGGGGCCCGTGGCCCTTGTCTTGGAGTTTTGCAACATCAAAGAAGCGGATGACGCTGAGGATCATGTAAAATCTTTCCCAACACCTGTCCAGTTAAGATACATCATGCCCAAGCCAGGTTGCACCCGCCTTTATTCCAGAGGGGGAAAAAAAGGTTGGCTGTACGAGGTTTCTGTACACCGATTGACATTTCGTTTGCATCTTGGTGGTTTTAAATGCAGCCTCTGATCAAAGCTGCCAAGACCAGCAAAACGCCAGCACCTGCCTTCTGCCCAGAGGTACCATAGGTCACTGCCGACCTGCACAGCAGCTCTGTCCCTGTGCTCTCCCCACAGCCTGGCCCCAAGTCAGCAGAAGCCGGCCTGGCTCTCGGGAGCCTTTCTGTGGGTCCTCTGAGACCATGCAGGGGCAGCGGTGGCCGCACCCACAGACGGGGCTGTAGGAGAGCCCGCCGGTGAGGGGCCTGCCCACTACCCTGGCGCCCATGACACTCACGGTCTCGCCTCTCTGTCCAGGGTGTCCTGGGAGCCCGTCCTTGCCCGGAGGCCCCTGAAGAAAGAACCAGAGGAGAGAAGTGTCATTCAGTTGTAAGAAGCACCCACTTTCAGATTTCGGGATTTAATGCCATGCCAGGTGACCCTTTCATTTCAATGGCTCTCACACTTGGGCATCCTCTGAGAAGGGCAGTCGCCAGACAGCCACAGGGACAATGATAACAGGGACAATGACGACAAAACTAAGCTGGTGGAGGAGCCTGTCCCAGGGGCCGTGGTCTGCTGGTAGTCCCACTGAAGCTTTACTCATCGCCCCTAGGGAGTGCTGTTACCGGGCCCATCTCCCCAGAAGAGGCCTGCTGACTGCTTGAGGCCTGCCCAGCGGGAGGCATAGATGGCACAGGGACTCCAGTCTGTCCAAGTCACGCTCCCTCCTACCCACCGCCCTGCACCATGCCCCAGGCAGGAATCCCCGTTTTGAGAGGCATCTTCATTTTAGAGGGATTTGCAGGGGAAATACATTGTACCGGTTGTGAGCTGAATTGTGTTCCCCGAAAGTTAAGCTAAAGCCCCAACCCCCAGGACCTGTGAATGTGTCCCTCGGAAAATAGGGTCTTCGCCAGTGTCACCGAGTTTGGTAAAGTCATACTAGATTAGGGCGGGCCCCGAGCCAACGGCTGGTATCCTTATAAAAAGAGGGAGAGTTGAAGGCCCAGAGACTGAGAGAGGGGACATTCACGTGAAGGGAAGGCAGCAGTCAGGGTGATGTGTCACCGACTGAGGGACACCAGGGATACTTCCCTAGCCTCCAGAAGGGACCGGCCCTGCCCACACTTGGATGTCTGACTTCCAGCCTGCAGAACAGTAAGAGAATACTCTCTGCTGTTTTAAGCTACCCCTTTTGCGGTAATTTGAATTTTGTCATTTTTGTTTGTATTTTAGAGACAGGGTTCTGCTCTGTCCCCTAGGCCGATCCTCCTGCATTGGCCTCTTGAATAGCTGGGACTATAGGCATACATCCCCACGCTGGGTTAATTTAAAAAAAAAATGTTTTGAGGAGATGGGTTCTCAGTACGTTGCCAGGCTGGTCTAACTCCTGGTCTCAAGCAATCCTCCCAACTCAACTTCCCAAAACGCTGGGATTACAGGTAGGAGCCACTGCAGCCATCATCCCATCTGTTATGGCAGCCGCAGGACACTGGGATAGCATCCAACTAGAAAAGCATAATGGTCTAAAAAAGAAAAGGGCCCCCAATGCCCGGGAGGGCCAGGCAGCTGGACAGGACCCTAGACTAGCCAGCAACAGTCTCAGCTGGGGTCTGTCCTGCCACATCGAACCCCTGCCTGCAGAGTTTCACTTCATGTCTCCCTCTCTGAGAAACTCTGAATAGCCCATAGGGAAACACTGGCAGGTCCAGGAGACACTGATGCCTGAGGAGCCAGATCCTGCCAGCCCAGCAGACATGACTTACCGGAGGGCCCTTTGGTCCAGGAAACCCCGTGGGTCCTTGGGGTCCGTTGGGTCCCTGGAGACAGAGAAAGGCTGGTTTGAGGCCAGAGGCCAGTGGGGTCTTCCCCACGCTGCTGACTCTCTGGACACAGGTGCCGTTCTTACCTATCACCCTGCCCCGGCCTTTTCTCCATCATTCGAGCCCCCTCCCTCACCAGAGAGAAACAGGAAGCTCGGTGGGTGGGGGGGACCGAGGCAGCCAGGCCAAAGAGCATCATGGCAGGGGCCTTGGGGCAGGACAGGCCTGATGACCACTTCTTGCTGCCTCCACCACCTCCCAAACGCCAAGACGGAGCCCAGGGGGATGGGGTGGAGGGCCTCGACTGATGGAAGAGTTCACTCCCAGAGAATGATCCCCCGTGGGATCACAGGAAAAACCTCTCCTTTCGCAGGGTCTGAGGCGGGGCTCCCTCCACCTACCCCTCCACCCCAGGAAGATGTGCAGAGGGGCTACTTGAAACACACTGATTTCTGGGAGGTGGCCCCACCCAATGGTTCAAGGTGCTTACCCGTTCACCAGGAGGGCCAGCCGGGCCATCGCCCCCAGAGTTGCCCTTGAGAGAGAAAGGGGGAGAGAGAGAGAAAGTTTATTAGTGTTATTTGGATGAAAAGGCTCTGCCTGTGAAATCAACAATACTTCCAAGTCGAATCTGGCCCCTGGGCACCTCTCAAGGCCGCCCTGACCCCAGTGAGGCACAGAGGGTGTCATCACTGACCTATGGCTCTCAAAGTCGGTCTCTTCTCTGGCCCCCCACACGCAGCTGGCCATGAGCTCATATCTACAGGGCCACGATGTTTCCAAAACAGTTTCCAGAGTCAGACACATATCCTGCCCCAGCCAAGAGTGCATCAGGAAGTCACACGGAGACAGATGAAGGGCTCTGTCTTGGGGCCTATCCCACTTGTGATAATTGCTGTTTAAGGTTCTTGCAGGAAAACAGAGCTATACACCAGAGCTTATCACAGGTGAGTTTATGGCACCCACCCCCACACCCCGGGCAGTGCATTCTGGGCGGCCAGGGGGCAGGCGGCTAGAAGGCAGATCTTAGCGGGAATCCACTTGAAGCCACGTCCTGGGCAGGGCAGGGCCCCCCGCACATCAATGGGGAGCTGGTATCAGTCAGCACCGCTGGACAGGAGGGAGGCTAAGGCAGACCCGGGCTTCCACTCGTGGCCAGAAAGCACTTCCTTCAGATTCCAGCAAAGATCTCTCCTCAGCATTCAAACCCCCTTTCAAGAGAAGAGATACACCTCCCCACCAGGACAGGGCACATCTGTGGTGGACCTGAGTTGTCTCTGAGACCCCAGCATGTGTGGTCCTCATCTGCTCTGCAGAACCGTATCCCATCACTGTCACTCTCTGCCTCTTGACTTAATTTGATCTAACGCATTCAGAGGCTGTTGGGAGCCGACCAGCTCCTTCTTAAATACACCTAAGAACACGTCTTTCTCTTTTCAAATGAAAAAGGCCACTGGCCACCCTCAGGCATCGATGTCTCTATAGCATTGCAGTTGTGGTTCAGGCCCCACCAAGGAGACCCCATATGTACCTTGGGGCCAGGCTTCCCAGTGATGCCACGTGGGCCTCTTTCGCCCCTCGGACCCTGGACAGACGGGAGAGAAGGAAAGTCAGCTCGAGTCCTCCAGACCGGCAGAGGCCCTCCTCCCCCACCCCCCATCTCTTGACATGTGCCCCCAAAGCGCTTCCAGCTCTCCAAGATGCCCTCAAACCAAAAGGATGGTTACCGTCGGGCCTCGCTGTCCCCGTGGTCCCGGCTTCCCCGGTGTTCCCTAGAATCAGAGAAGGGGGGTGGTCAGTCACTCTCAAGATGCCTGGTGCTGCCTCGGTGGCCACAATGCCCTCCTCAGGGTTTTTGAGAGACTATGAGAACGGAGAGCCAGGCTAGGAAAGAGGCAGGCTGTCCCCACCAGGCGCCTTATCTTTGTTTTCATAGGAGATGTATCAGGGTGAGGCAGCTCACCACACACCCGAGACACAGAGCTCTGCACTCCTGCCCAAGTCCTATGAAATCCAATTTTCTCCCCGCAGTCTGATGAATGTTTGCTACTATTATCTGGTCTCCTTTCCTCAAAACATCTCCACATCCTTCCTGTCTCCCTCCCCGCCTCCTGCCTGGTGTGTCTCTCTCCCTCTCTCTCTCCCCCCTCTCTCACTCAGCAGGAGGGGAGGGATCATTATTGCAAGAAAAGAGAAGAAAGTCAACCCCTTTCATACATAATTTACTTTCACTACAGTTAAGAATATTGGCCATTAAATTTTCAACGGGCTCTGCGGACGCACAAACTTGCAATTTAATAGATAAATCATATCTCGAAGAACCACTGGCTTCTCCTCTAATAGAATTTAGACTCCTTTTTCTCTCGTTTTGTATCTTCCAAACCACAGAAAAACAAACGCCCTGCACGGGTGTTTGAGCTGGGTGAGGCAGTTTACCGGCCGCATGTGGCAGTAACGGGCCGAACACAGCCCCAACCGACCTCCCTACCGCTTCTCAAATCATTTCCCTGAATTTTTATTCTGGCCCGATGTGGAGCTGTATCACCAAAGGCCACCTGAGAAGTCCTCCCACCATCTTTCATTCATTTTCTGCCAGCGTCAAAGCTGCTTCTAGAGCCATCCATGTCAAGATGCATTTCATAAAACCATTTGCGATGATGAGTTAATCGTGCTGCCTTTTAACAATGCACTTCGGTTCCAGTTCTTCCATCACATGGTGATATCCTTTGGCTTCGAATAAATATTTGCATATGAAAATTAATGAAACATCTGGTATCTTCCGGGGAGAGTCGTGTCACCAGCATGCACACCCCCAGCCAACCGGGTTCTTTCCCAGCATTTAGGGACCATCCCCGACAACCAGGTGTTCTTGCTCCGACCCTCCACAAAAACAAAAACCCTAGACCAGCGGTACCACGACCCTGGCCCTGACCCGTGGCTTTCATCACAAAGGGCACAGACGGCTCTCAGCTCCAATCCAGATTCATTGAGCCCAAGGCACAGGCCAGAGGGCCTTGGCACGGAGCAAAGTCGCAGTCACAAATTCTATCCGGGCCTCATGGGCAGCATCTAGTTCATCCATTTTCACTGTAAACTATCCCAAACATGAGCTTCCAGTCCCCATGACCGGAGCTGTGGAACAGAATGTCCCTGAGTCTCGTGAGCGCTGACAGTCCCAGCAATGGCCATCCCTAGCAGTCAGACTAAGGTGGGAGAGGTCTTCCAGTGGCTGGCAGGTACTTCGAGAGAGCTAGCTCTTCCCTCTCTCCGGGCAGGGCCTTCTTGGACATTGCCATGGCCCAGGGCCCAGGCCGGTGACAGCCACCATGTTGCTCATATCCGTTTATCTTTGACTACAGCCAGCTTGACGTGAGAGCGTGTGTTCCTGACGTGTTCCTGTTTCACCCACAGGGCACAGGCCAGAGAACCAAGCCATGAGCTCAACAGAAGCTAGGAACAGCCAGACGGAAGGGCAGGCAACCTTGACTGGAAGGCAGACACACACAAACACACGCATGCACGCAGACACGCATATGCACATACAACTGGTCCTGTTCTGGCATCCTAGGACCTAGAAGTATCCATCTGACCAGAATACCCAAGAGACTTGAAAAAGGCCTTTCTGGCCAAGCACAGACCTCCCACCAGCCTCCCCCTTACAGCCTGCAGTCGCCTTCCCATCCCTCTCCCTAACTAAGCCCTTTAGCAGGTCCTTACCACTTGGGAATAAAGAGTGACTCCCTGCCCCACCAGGCCCTATAGCCGCAGCCTCCTCTGAAGGCTCAGCCTTGTACCAGCCTCCCTCTGATTCCTCCTCTCACCTCCTCACCTGACAGTTCTGCCCACTTTCCCCACCTCACCTATCAACTTCTGACCCTCCTGCAAGTCTTAGCAGAAACGTCACCACCTCCAGGAAGCCCCCCTGCACTTCTGGGTCAGACCCAGGTGCCTGTGATCTCTCCCTGATTCATTCACCCTTGTCCTTCATCATCATAACCATCGATCATGAGCGTGGGTCATGGGATGCCCCTCTCTGGATGGCGGGACATCTGGTCTTACCACCTGAGTCCCCAGTGCTGGGCAAAGCTCTGGGCACTTTGCAAGGACTTAACAAGCACATGCTGTGTAAGTGAATGAACCATCTCCAAATAAACCCCCAAGACTATGAGGCACCAAGGCCAAGGGCAAGAGGACAGCCATGATAGTGAACTTGGGAGGTCACCAGGCTTGGAGATGAGCCGGTGACCAGGGAGTTCTGGGGGACCCAACGTGAGACTTCAAACAAAAGAGGAGGGTCTATCTGCAAGGACAGCCTGGGCCTCCAGCCTCCTGTGGACGACAGGGAAGGGCCAGCCCAGACCCGCGGACTCAAGGGCGCCCACACTCTGTCACTTCCTGAGCATAAGAAATATGCATAGAGCAGCAACCCCATCCAGAAAACCACCCAAGATTGCAGGCGTCTTTGTACAGAGATGATTCCACAGATAGCGCTCGTGGAGGACAGCTGTGCCTGGTCTCCTGGGCAGAAGGCTCTGGTGGACCGTGACAGGGATGATGAAAACAGTCACACGCATCAACTGTTGTCTCTGCATACTCCAAAGACAGCAGACAGCCTTGCCCTCTCAGCCTCAGGTCTGTGTTGTGAGTCGTGCTATGAGCACAGGGCAGCAGCGGGCAGGACATCCCCAGTCAAGGCCAGATGTCAAGATGCCGCAGAGGTAGTTGGGGCGTGCAGATCTTGGCTTGAGTCAGGCTGTGTGGTTCGTTGAGTGACTCCCAGAGCTGACGCCCTAAACAATGGTTGGTGGGGGGCCCGGGGTTACTCAGAGCATCTGTCCAAACTCTTTGACTCAGGGATGCGGAGACCGAGATACAGGAGGGGCAGTGTCACCACCAGGAGCACTGGAGGTGAGTGGAGCCTCCGGCAACTCCAGGCGGTCCCTGGTCTCATGACCATCCAGAGGGCTGGAGGTCAAATCACATGACCAGCTACAGAAGATCACAACTTCTCCTGGAGACTGTCACTATGTGTGGAGCGGTCACCTGGTCACCCATGTTCCCCATGCTTCTCAAAGTGGCACCTGTGGGTTTTCCAGAGAATGGTCTTTCCCCAAAGACACTAGCCAGCTCATCTCCAGAAGGAATGACAGATACGTAGGTAGATGTGTAGAGACGGACAGGATCGTGATAGATAGATAGACAGATAGATAGATAATAGAACACGGGTGGGTAGATGGATGGATAGGTTGATGGAGAGACAGAGATAGGCTGGGTGCTGTGGCTCACACCTGTCATCCCAACACTTTGGGAGGCTAAGGAGGGGAGATCGTTTGAGCGTTTGAGCCCAGGAGTTTGAGGCCAGCCTGGAAAACATAGCAAGACCTCATCTCTACAAAAAATTAAAAAATGAACTGGGTGTGCCGGCGTGAGCCTGTAGTCCCAGCTACTTAAGAGGCTGAGGTGGAAGGATCGCCTGAACCTAGCAGGTTGAGGCTCTGGTGAGCCGTGATTGAGCCACTGCATTCCAGCCTGGGCGACAGAGTGAGACACTGAATCAGAAACAAACAAAACAAACAAACAAAATATATACATAGAATTCTCTCTAGCAAAGATAGCTAGAGAGAGTTCACAGTCTCCCTGAGTCTGTGATGTCAACTCACACTCTAGAACCCTCCCTATGTTCCCATGTCTTGGCTGTCTCGAGGTCTTTCCCCTGGCTTCAAAGGAGTGATCGACTCTGCCTTAAACACGACACACACAAGGAGTATTGTGCCCCGAGGAGCCGTTGTCCATAGCTCCGTCTATGGGTCCCACAAGGACAGCCTGGGTGAGCCACAGGCTCAGGCTGGGGCCGCGTAGAACATGTGAGTATCCTACACACACCACACACCGACCTCCCCATCCCCCAGACGCCTGTGGGCAAGGCTGGCTCACAGTCCGAGGCCTGAGAGGACTATCTTGCTCCTATCTTCCGACTGGCAGTGCTCAGACACTGTGACTTCACTAATGAAGTCCAGGCAGCTCCTGCAGGAAGACCTGGACCAGCAGGGACTCCAGGAGGCGGGGAGGACACGGCTCCCCAGCTCCGGCCCTGGCGCCTTTGCTCAGGGCAAGAACAAAGAGGCGGCCTGGTGGGTGTTTAGGACAGCAGCAGCTTGCTGATGAACTTGGCTTTGAATTTGGACTAGGGAAGGTAGCTGGGCATTACAAAAGAAAGAAGACCAGGTACCAGGGTTCACGCTTGTAATCCTGAACTTTGGGAAGCCGAGGTGGGAGGACTGCATGAGTCCAGGAGTTTGAGACCAGCCTCGGCAACATAGTGAGACCTCCTCTCTTCAAAAAATTTTAAAAACTTAGCCTGGCACGGTGGTACATGCCTGTAGTCCCAGCTACTCAGGAGGCCGAGGTGGGAGGAACACCTGAGCCTAGCAGTGGTGAACCGTGATCGTGCCACCGCACTCCAGCCTGGGCAACAGAGCGAGACCCCGAATCAAAAACAATAATAACTGAAGGAAAATAAATCCGATTATCCCCCCTTCCTTTTAAAATTAAGCTTGGAGGAAAGGTCCACTTGGGTAGAAAGGGAAGAACCTGGTTTTTACAGATGACAAGCTTTCTGGATTGTGGAACTTATTGAAAGCTCCGTTTTCTCACACCCTTCCCCTCTTGCCTCTGCCCCTTCCTGTCCTGTCACTGCCCAGCCCGATGTCTGGGAAGCATCACCAAGTACTCACTGCTAAAGGTCATGAGTTTAAGGTCAGCCTTTCAGGAGAGCAGTTTTGGCAGCAAAGTAGGTGAGAAATAAACAGGCTGTTGGCTAGAGAACCGATCAGCTACACACCAAGGTAGATGCCCAGCCAGGAGCCAGGCTGTCCTTACCCTGCCGCCCTTCTCTCCATTGGCACCAGGAAATCCAGCAAATCCAATAGAGCCCTGCAAGAGAGGTACAGAAGCAGCGTGAGAGCTGGAGGGGGATGAGTTTTGGGCAGGGGCCACCTGGGTCTAGTGTGCATGAGTGCACAACCTGACCTAGGCTCCCCCAGCCATCCATCCTGCTACCTGTCTACAAGCCTGCCCACCCATCTGTCCATCCATCCCCGTCTACCCAACCACCTGCCCACCCAACCATCCAACTGTCTATTCATCCATCCTCCCATCTGCTTACCCGCCCATCCATCCATCCATCCATCCATGCATTCATCCAATCTACCTGTACACCTACCCACCCACCCATCCATCCACCTGTCCCACCACCTACCCATCCATCCATCTGTCCGACTGCCCATCTGCCCACCCATATGTCCATCCCTGTCTACCCAATCACCTACCCATCCATCCATCCATCTACTCACTCACCTGTCCACCCATCTAACTATACACAGCCATCCATCTACCTGTCTCCTCACCCCACTCACCTATCATCCATCCACCTGTCTACCCACTCACTCACCCTCCCATCCATCCATCCACCTGTCTACTCATCCATTCACTCATCCGACTACCTACCTGCCCACCCACCCAACTATCTATCTGTCTTCCCAACCACCCATCCATCCATCCATCCATCCAATTGTCTACCTACCCACTGCCACCAATCCAACACCCGTCTACCCTACTATTCACCCATCCACCTTACCACCCACCCATCCATCCATCCACCTGTCTACTCATCCATTCACTCATCCGACTACCTACCTGCCCACCCACCCAACTATCTATCTGTCTTCCCAACCACCCATCCATCCATCCATCCATCCAATTGTCTACCTACCCATCCCCACCAATCCAACACCCGTCTACCCTACTATTCACCCATCTACCTTACCACCCACCCATCTATCCATCCACCTGTCTACTCAGCCATCCACTTATCTGACTACCTACCTGCCCACCCATCCAACTATCTATCTGTCTTCCCAACCATCCATCCATCCATCCATCCATCCATTCATCCATCCATCCATCCATCCATCCATCCATCCATCCATCCATCCACCTGTCTACTCATCCATCCATCCATCCAATTACCTACCTGCCCTCCCACCCAACTATCTATCTGTCTTCCCAACCAATTGTCTACCTACTCACCCCCACCAATCCAACACCCATCTACCCTACTATTCACCCATCCACCTTACCACCCACCCATCCATACATCTATCTATACACTTGCCTATCCAACACCCATCCACCCACCCCTCCATCCGCTCATCCACTCGATAAATAATTCCCAGGCACTTCACAGACTTCAGCTTCAGAAACCCAAGCTGAGCCCTCCACCATGCTTGCTTCCTCCTCTCCCTCTTCACCCTCCCCCGACATGCCCATGTCCATAAAACGGTGGCTGGTGTCTGAGGAGAAAAGGGAACACATGCTACTAAGATTAACTGAGATGAGACATGAATCTCACATGGTGACATTTTGTTTTCTGTTCCTTGCCGTATCTTTTGTTGTCTTCCCACAGTCCCTCTAAATAAAGCACGGCAGTTTGCAGAGTCGGGGGTGAATGCAAATTTATGCGCAAACTATGGCATCTAACAGATATTTAATTCTAGAAATCTACCAGGTACACGCAGTCAAGACATGACCTTCAGGCTTTGACCTGGCGAATATCCAAACACCTACTATACGCAAGAAGGAGCATCACAGGAGCCCCTGAGACCCTGGGTGAGGACTGCCCATCTGCCCATGGACGCTGGTGCTGGTCACTGTCTCCAGCAGGTCTCTGCCTGGCTTGAATCCTGACCTAAGGTGTACTTGTACCCACAAAGCGCTTATAAATCCCCAAACCCCGCATTTCTCACAGGGGACTGAGCCCACTCAACCCACCCACACACCCACCTGCCAATCGAGGTAGGGGGTGGGACCCAGGGACCCTCAGTGCAGGCAACACAGAGCTCAGCTCAGAAACTGGGTCACCATGCATGACAGCAGATCACTGCTTCTAGCCACGGCCTGAGGACACGTGTGTAGTTCCAAAGTTCTGCCTTCCCTTTCCAAAAAGCTGCCGGAACTTGATTTATATGCCCCCCATCCCTCCCAAACCTCTCCTCTCTCTCCTCTCCTCCCCCAGAGGGATGTGTATTTAAAGAGAGAAAATGTGTCTGTCTTCCCCTGTCCATCTGCCCCTGTCCGCCACATTCGAGTTGTGGCCGGGAGCCGTGTCGCACCCACGTTCAATGTGCCACTGCTTGATGCTAAATAAAACTCCCTCTCCTGCATATGGGGTGTGTGTAGACACACACGGACAGATCTTAACATTCCACAGGAAGGACGGATGGGGACATTTCTCTAACCAGAACAGAAGCACCAAGAGGACGGCCCCAGCCCAGGACACCATCCTCCTTGTGTTAACAAGACAGCACTTGTGAGACCTGGGTGGTGAGGCTAATGGCGGGCACCCGCAGGCACAGACGCAGATCTGAGGACGATGAGACCTCTCTTCCTGCTAATTGCACCTCCAGTGCAGGTAGCTTCTTCTTTAAAGAAGAATCATGAATAATAAAATGACGTTTTCAATGATCTCCAACGCCTTAAGGAGCTGTTTCACTTGAACCTGACATGATTTCTCATAAGAAGAGTTTCCTTTCTCCTTTATAATCCATTACGAGCAAATCACCTTCAAATGGCCAAAGGGAGGCGGAGCGGAAGGTTGGCTGTCTCATGAGTTCGGGGTATGGACAGCCAGGGGACAAAGGCCACCAGCAAGTACCAGGTGAGGGGGCCACCAGGATCCTACAGAGGTCACCAGGGGGACCACAGGAGGACTCCAGGGAGGACACCAGATGCCCCTAGGGAGAATCCAGGGGAATACAAAGGGATCCCAAGGAGGACACCACAGGGCCTGCAGGGGAACTCAAGGGAGGACTCCAGGGGAACCCGAGGGGCCTCCAGGGGAACTCCGGGCACCTGTGTTGCCCATGGCTCTGGCAGACCCTGTTCCCTTCTCAGAAAGGCTCAACTCGTGGCCCAAGTGCCTCTTTGCAGATTGGCAAACGAGCACAGAAGGCCATGAGGAAGGTGGCACCTTAGGGATGATGCATGTCACTCTCTTGTACCACACAAGCCCTGGGGAAGGAGGATGGCTGAGCCCATGTGGAGTGAGGCCAGTGGAGTGTCCCTGCAGCATCTGCCGGGACACTGAATGAGGCTGGAAGGTACCTTTGGTCCTTGTCTTCCAGGATACCCCGGCAGTCCTGGGACTCCGAGTTTTCCCTGGGGGAAAAGAGTCGTATTAGTGGTGAACACCGTTTCTCCGTCCGTTTTCTCTGAGCAGAGAGAAAAAGCCCGTGTGTTCTGGCAGGGGCTGGAGGGGGGTGCAGTTTCAAAGGCTGGAGCACCGGTCTCTGCGCAGAGGCCCCGCCTGGCCCTGAGGATGGCATCGCCAAGCCCTAGTGCATCAGGTGGGCACTCGAAGGTCCCTGCACCGATGGGGAAGCAAAGGCCTTGAACGAGAACGATGCCATGGTGGAAGCAAAAGTGCTTAGAGGCACAGGCCCCAGATGAGAACATTCTTTATCTGTGAATGTCTCCTAACCCTTTTGTAAGAGTTCTAGCCGTGGGGTGGGATGGGGCTAAAGCCTTGGGCCCACTGCACGCACTATTCCTCCTGGGGGTGAGGGTGAGGGGACAATGTTGGCCCCAGAGAATGGCAGGCCTGAGAATGGCAGAACCGAGCTGGCCTTCATTCCTGCCAGGCTGTCACACCTTCGGGTCATGGTAGGGACCCTGTTATTAACCTCCGTGTGGAGGGAAAAGGGAAGCTGACAAGGCCAGGGCCCTCGCATGTGGGCTTACACTCCCAAGCTTGGTGGCTGCCTGGAGGAAGGAGCCCCCTGAGGCCACGGTGGAGGACTTGGAAGGGACGAACTGGAGACCAGCAAAGGATCCATAAACAGCTTCACTGGGGACAGTGCTAAAGTTTTGGAACTCTTTGCCCTCCTGGAAAAGCAGTCCAACCCTCTACCTCACAAACCTTCTCCCCAGGGGGTCCCAGGGGACCAGGATCACCATTGGGACCTCCACGACCCTTGGGGCCTTCAGGGCCGTCTTCTCCCCTGGGACCAGGTGGGCCGATCTCCCCCTGCAAGTCAGAAGAGAGGTGGTGAGTGGGGCCCCCATGACCTCTGCCCCCATGCACAACCCCCACTACCTTTCTGAAGGCAAGGGGGCAGGTGGTCAGAGCCACTGAGCCAATTCAGCCTCACTCCAGCCGCTACCACCGCTGTCAAAACGTGCCCACTGTGCAGCAAATTACAGGGCTCTGCTGTCCCTCTGAACTGAGGTTGCCGGCTATTTATTTTCTCAGGGGCTGCACACTCCTACTCCCAATTACCTTCTCTAAATTGAGTGCCTCTTGGCTAAAATAACTTTGGTTAACAATAGCAGCTCTGAACTGCTACTTCCCCACATACCGCAGGATAGCTGGTGAGTTGCCTCCTGCAAGCCCCGGAACTACGGAAATGGATAACAATCCCTGGATTCAGCAGTGGCCTGGGCCGGACAGCACCCAGGAGGGCCACAGAAGGCACCCAGAGACAGAAGGGGCTTAAATTCTGCCTTGTTCAATTTCCCCAAGCTACAGATGGGGGTCCCAGACTTGGACGAGGAAGAGGGGGAATCAGGAGCCCGCTCGGGCCAACGGCAGCACTGTGGCCGAGTGGCTGAGTGTCCATCCTGGAGCTCCCTCTCTGCCAATGCATGAGTCCTCTTTGGTCATCTGTTTCCAAGAGCAGCCACAGAACAGCTATGCAACCCCATAACAAAAAAGAAAGACACGACTAATCACTTGCTAACCTGCAGCTCTGATTTGGCTGCGGGTAGAGAACTCTCTGTCCTTAAGAAGTGTTCCTCAGCCAGGCTTGGTGGCTCAGCCTGTAATCCCAGCGCTTTGGGAGGCCAAGGTGAGTGGATTGCCTGAGCCCGCAGGTTCGAGACCCGCCTGGGCAACTTGGCCAGACCTCATCTCTACAACAAATCAAAAAATAGCCGGGCATAGTAGCGTGCGCCTGTAGTTCCAGCTACTTGGAAGGTTGAGGGGGAAGGATCACCAGAGCCCAGAAGGTCGAGGATGCAGTGGTCGGGAGCGGCCACTGCACTCCAGTCTGGGTTACAGAGTGAGACTCCAACTCAAAAAAAAAAAGAAATAGAAGTGTTCCTCTTGTCCAACAACGTAATCCTTCACAGAAGATGGGGCACCCCCCAAAATACAGAATTATCTTTTAGAGGGCGGGCTCCTTGGAGTACAGGCTTCCCCTGCTAAGTGAGTGATCTAGGAACCCATCGGCATCTGTGGACCAGCTAGCATTGTAGTGAGAGGCTGCATTTGGCTTCAGGGCATTTTTTTGAGATTCTTGCAGTGAGTTTTGCCCATTTCATAATGAGAGATTTACGAGCACACCTGCCCATATAGCATGGAGTACTCCGCAGTTTTTGGCCAAAAACAGCATGACCCCTGTGCTCCACCCTCCCTGGTCTCCCGACCTCACCCCAAGTGACTTTTCTGGGTTTCCCTGGCTGCAAAAGTTCTCAAAGGGAAACGTTTTGCCGATGTGGAAGAGGTAAACAAAAAACATCAGAAGCACAAAAGACATCCAAATAGACGAGTTCAAAAGCTGTTCGGAGTAGTGAAAAGAAGCATCTTTCTCAGTGCACTGCACCCAACAGAGAGGACTTTGAAGATGACTGAAGTTTAAACATGTAAGAATAAAGACACAAGTTTTTATAAATAAATCCCGGGTTTTTTAGGTCCCTCTCATATTTACACAGCACCCACAGGGTGCAAAGTTCCAGGCTCGGCTTTGCACTTTGATGATTGATCATGTCAATGATTGATGTTGATAATGGATGACTGGCACAGCCCTGTTTCCTGGGTCCAAGGAGTGTCCGGTCTCAGGTCCCACCCTCAGCCAGCTGCATCGGGAACCCCTCCGCCACCCACGGAGCCTGGGCGTAAGGATGTGGATGTCTTTTGTGTCATGTCCTTTGCAGCCGTACCCTCCTAATGTGAACCCCAAATGCATGTCCTGAGTCGTCAGAGGGCAGGTGCAAGGAGACTTTAGCCCGTCAAACTGCAAAAGAGGGCCCCTTAGAGGTGGGCATTTTAGGATCCCTCTGCTATGAATAAAGTTCTAGAATGGCTGTCTTTCTTTAGCAGCAACAGAACTGGGGCAACACTGTAAAGCAACGCCCTCTCTCTCTTCCTCTCCTTCCCTCTGACAGAGGTGCATATGGCTTCCGCCTTTTGCCTGCCAGGCTGGGACACCGTGCCAAGTGTCCAGGCTCTCCTGTTCTGGCATGTCCTGGAAATTCTGGAAAGGCGCCTACAGACCCTGCCTTGCAGGAGGATGGTTTCGGCAGCTGGATGACAGCCCTGCTGCTGCCGACAGATGTCCGTCCAGGTGTGGACACAGCTGCCTCCATGCTGTGCCCACCTGGTGGGGTGCGGGGAGAGGCATCTCGGCGTCTTCTGCCTGGGCTCCTGCTCCTCCCAAGGTTGCTAGGGAAACTTGCAAGGGTTCAGACCGGTAGCTGGCCCACCCTGGCTGCTCATGGAGCCCACGATCTGGACACCTCCTCCAGCACCACGTGCCACCTTCTCTTTATTTATGAAATACAGCCTGTGGCGCTGGCCACGTGAGCAAGCCCCAGCTCCTCCCAGCACCCACCGGCTTCCTCTGGAACTGAGATAAATTATGCATTAAAAACCAAGCCGGCCGGGCTCGGTGGCTCAGCCTGTAATCCCGTGCCTTTGGGAGGCTGAGGTGAGTGAATTGCCTGAGCCCGCGGGTTCGAGACCTGCCTG